TTGCTTAGAGATGAAGGGTTCTTTGGTGGAATTATTAGGAAGAAGGACTAAGATCCAGGCTTGTATTTGATCTTGGAACAATTAGGTATTTCTCACTAACACACTCACCATTTCGAAGCATTCATGGACTTCACAAAATGAACTAAACTCTTTGTTCTTTCCTTTGGTAGTGCCGCGGCTATAGAGGGAAAAAGGAGAGACTAAAGCTTGTTCAAATAGGCAACCTAGAAGCCTTGCCATTACTTGATTGCTGGTAGGTTTCGATCACATTAAATGAGAGTAAGGTGGTGATTTGTTGTCATAGGTTAGATTGCTTAATTTAGGGACAAGAACATGCTGTCAATTTCCTTGATTAAGGAAATTTAGTGATTGCTTGATTTAAGGAATTGATGATGTGTGACTAATCGTCATTAAAAGTTGCTCCCTTGATTTAAGGGATTGATGAGGTGTGACTAATCGTCATAAAGGTTGCTTCCTTGATTTAAGAAACAGAATTATTTGATTGATTGACATATTGTCATCAATTTGCTTGATTTAGGGAAAGTGATTGACTACTAATCATCATAATCCTAACTTCCTTGTTTAAAGGAATTTGACTGGCTTGACTTAAGGAAATTCGATTTGCATTTAATGGCTTGAAAATCAAATAAAATCAAATTCATTTCCTACACCTAGGCCGCGGATTTTAAATGCTTGGAAGGAAAAGATTTCCTTTAATTTTGGACCGTGATTTATTCCTTAAGATTATGGACCTTTAACCTATTAACCTGACCTAATTTGTGCCTATTTTTCCATGATTTTATGACACTTTAAATTGACTTCTTAGAGCTTGTTTTCTCTAGTAAAACCGTGGGCTTCTTGCTTGTAGGGAAAGAATTCTAATTTAATTCCTAGTCATATAGTACTTCTTTAGGTTTATTATGTCATGGCCTTACTTTGGGCTTTAACTTGATTTGGGTTTCATTTACCTTATTGGACTTTACTTTATCATATGGAGCTTTCTTTGTATCACTTGGACTTGTCCACATTAAATGGAATTAAAACTTCCTTTGTTGGGTTATACTTTGATCCATGAATTCATTGGATCCCTAATGCTTATGTCTTTGGTCCATTGGACCCATACTTCTAATTTACTTAATCATAAACTATTTCATCTGAAATGTCTCGTTTATTAATTATCATAATTCTTCATTAATCATGATACAATATTTAGGGTTGTTATAGTTGTCAGACCTAGAGAAAAGACAAATGTAACACCCCATTCCCGTCTGGTTTGTTAATTCACATATGGTACTTAAGGAACAAAATAATTAAATTCTAAAGCGAAAAACTTAACAAATAATGAGTCGTTGCTTAAATAACAAGGTTACTTATCTTTTCTTTTTATTTTAAAATATCTATACAGTCCCATACATGTACAGAATCTATACCTGATAATCTGTGAACATGACTGCTGATCATATCACTATTCGAATATGATATCATGTACCATTCCGGATAGATCCTCATGGATAGCATAACGATTGTAAACTGAACTAATCCAGTGATCACAATTAGGGGTGTGCATGGAGCGGTTCGGTTCGGTTATTGTCAAAAATCGAACAGAACCAGTTTTAAACGGTTTGGATTTTAAACCGAACATTTTTTTTTTAAAAAAAAAAGATTTTAATTTGTCCAAACCTGTAACACCCTCTCCTGTATGCATCCAAGAGAGTCGTTTGCTAATCGTTATTAGAGTTGCGGAAACAGATAAAAACTTTTTCTAAAAAAGATCTTTGAGAAATTGTTGTGGAAAGATGAATCTAAGAAAAATTTGATGGAAAGAACTTAAAATGTGTTGCTGATAAAAATGGTGAATATTTAAGAAAACTGTACTCCTTTAAATATTAATATAAAATCGAGTTTTCAAAATATTTTGTACAGTTAATGAAATCCGAAAGTAGACGCTTGGGGCTTCGCACATATAAAATAATAGTAAATCGGAGTTCATTTGCCCCTCGATACATAACTCGTAAGTTGTCCGTAAATCGTTAAAAATTCAGCAATTGATAAACGTTAAGAAAGTCCCTTTCGCAAAACATTTCAGATTTCTTAAAGCAGCCGCTGTTCATAAAAAGACTTAAAGCAGAAATAAGTCATAGTTTTACAGTCATCCAAAAATCATCAAGTACCACATAATACAGTCATCCCAAGCTTAAAACAGTCAACAGTGAATAAATCCAGACAGCAGCAAAAATATAACAGAGTTCAACATCCAAGTCCTCAAATGCTTTTACGTCCTCCTGCAATTTAAAAATTGCAGCCCCAAAGGGGTGAGAATAAACCCAGTAGTGTGGCAACAAAACCAAATGCAACAGTATTAACTAGGCATAAAATCATAAATAGTCACTTCAAACATTTAATCCTTTTCATCATATATCATAACGCGTATATAACGCCCTTTTTCCTTTACGCTCATAGCACCGTCGTGCGCGTAGCATCATAGTGGGTATTCCTAATGGCTCCCATGAAGGTGAATCCCACTGTGGAACCTATGCGGACTGAAGCCAAGAGTCCTCTCTCCTGGTACCAGGCATGCCTATATGATGCATGCTCAGTCACATGTCCTCAATACAAATATATATATATTCAAGATGTCATGAATCAAGTATACATGCCATGTTATGCAATCGCACCCAACAGAAAAATGTATTATGATGTAAAATGCATGCATATATCATATCATCCTTTCATATTCTTACCATTGGCTCATCATCATCATAACATACATAGAACAAATGTGAGCAACACATCACAATTCCATACACTAGCCAATAGTCACATTAGGTAATACCGCCTACACATACCTCGTACGTCGAAACTTACTTTACCGATTCACAACGAAACAGTCCAACGTCTCAAGGATTTTTCGCACCTATTTTACAGTATAATAAATCAGTGTACATTCAATTTATTCATCAAAGTTCCAAGCTTAATAATTTCTATAGTGTTCGGCCGTAAGGTTCTTTTTCTAAATATTATTTTTGACTCCAATTTAACCTTTATACACTTTCTACAGTGGGAAATTCTTTTAATAACTCCACTAAGGCAGAATCGGTTTTCATGCTTCTCCTATGGAAGATTTCTAACTTTAATTTTTAATAGCATACATCAGCCCCATTATTAGCTAAACAGCGAAAACTTTAAGCATTTACATCCTAATGGTTCGGTTTTGTCATAATAAGGCCCTTAGGGATTTTTTTCTACTCTTCCTCTAATGATGCGTTAACGTAAGGTGTCCCATATGCCATCTTATCTCATTTTTCCAGCAAAACAGAGGAGAAATCTAACGTGCAGAAACGGTTCCTCATCAACCTCTAAGGCAAAATTCCAAAAATTCAATTAATCTATCTATTGTTCTACCAAGACAGACTACCATTTTTTTTTTATAAAATTAATTCCAAGTTTACTTGTTATGCTTTCTAACTAAGATCCGAGGGTTCATTATGGCAGAACCTAGAGAAAATAAATTACATAAGAAACCACTTCCTATACATGCTTCTCGGCCTGAACAGAAGACAGAGATAGAGGTTCAAAAATTTTGTGCTTACCTTTTACTAGCGCACTAAGGAGACCAAATGGACAACACTTCAGCCCTTAATGATTCACGAAATAGCCAGCCCCACTCTTCAAGCAGTGGTCGTGCGGATATGATAGGGAGAGGAAAATTAACTTGAGTTAGTTTATGAACAAATATCTCCTTTAAAGAAGGTGACAGAGGTCGCCGCACATAAGTTACAACAAGACAAAACAATGTGTTACCTCTTGGAACAAATGGTGCACCGTCGAATGAAGAAGGCAGGGACAACGTGTGATTAAATTTTTGGTATCACTCTAAAGAGGTCCTCGATTTTCAGTTAGGATACAAGGAAAAATGTGAAATAAATTATTGAGTTCCCTCTGTACATATGCTTCGGTTTTGAAGTGTGAGAAGGAATGAAAACAGTAGATAGTGATGACAACTAATTTGTGTTGAAGTGGGAGGAAAGTTGTGTTTTTTGGTAGAGAAAGAGGGTGGTACAGTTGAGTTTCCTGAAGCTCAAATTAAGGTTTAATCTAGCTCCTTTCCTACAAAATCAGCGCATGAGAGATGGGAGGGGGTGAAGTCTTAAGTGCCGATTTAAAGAAGAAATAAACCACAAATGCCCAAGCCATTCTTCTCACTTCAGCGCAGGAGGGAGTGAAGGTAAGTGCAGAATTTTCCAGCCAATGGCAATACATGCACACTGCATTCCCCTTCCCTTATTGGGCGCAGGTGTTAAGGCTGAGTGGTGTTAGAAATTAGGCTAACTAAGATTGACATAAAGCTGAATTTTGATTGTCCACCCAAACAAGTTATCAGCTCGCTCCTCTGCCCAAAACAGCGCATCGTACAAGGAGATAAGAGGTGTGAGTTGGTTGCCATGTGTGATAGCCAACCAATAAAGAGTGACCTTGTGGAATGACTAGGCTAAGATAGAATTTGGACAAAATGAAGTGAAATTGGGCTGATTACATGAGCACCTCCTAGGGTCCTAAAAACTCGGCCCACACAGATTGTGGGGTAATAAGAATATCCCAGCCCAAATTGATACTAACATAAAGGTTAAACCAATAAAATCATGCATTCCAAAGCCCTATTTAATTCTTTTAGTTACAATTCATCTTTTATTTCTTATGGTATGATTTATACATTCTTATACTTTAGAATTAAAGCTTTATAAGTTTAAAATAAATCCTCTCTTAATACTATAATTCAATAATTTCCTAACTTAGTTTTAATCCTATGCTAGTTCTCAATAATTTCGAAGGCCAACAAACAATACATATATATATATATATATATATATATCTATATCGAATTTAATTTTTCCACACGTGCATTCTTATCCTTACGGTATTTTGTGTATTTTCCTAATTACGTGGGATGTTACACTCTCCCCACCAAATTGGAATTTTGTCCGCAAAATTAGATTTACTTACTAATTAAACAATTCGGGATAACATTCCCGAATGTCGTCTTCACGCTCCCATGTAGCTTCAGCTGCCGATTTTTTGATCCACAACACTTTCACCAACGGAATCTCTTTTGAACGAAGTTGCTTAACAGATCTCTCCAGGATCTGGAACGGCTGGACCTGGTACGTCAGATTTTCCCTTAACTCTATTTCTTCCGGCTGTAACACATGAGATGGATCGGAGAGATATCTCCTCAGTTGCAACACATGGAATACATCATGGATCCCTGACAAATTAGGCGGTAGCGCCAAACGATACGCTGATTCCCCAATCCAATCCAAAATGAGATACGGTCCCAGAAACCGCAGACTTAATTTCTTGACTCTCATTCTCCTGCCGAGCCCCGAGGTGGGTGTGGTTCTCAAAAATACATGGTCTCCCACTTCAAAAGATAGAGGCTTATGACGCTTGTCGTAATAATTTTTCTGCCTGGCCTGCGCTCGCTGCATATTTTCTCTTATCTTCTTCACCTGTTCAGAGGTCTCTTGAATCACATCGGGCCCCAAAATACTTCGCTCTCCAACTTCAGTCCAACACAGAGGGGATCTACACTTTCTTCCGTACAGGGCTTCATATGGAGCCATTTGAATGCTGGAATGATAACTGTTGTTGTAAGCAAATTCAATCAAAGGCAGATATTGGTCCCAACTACCTCCTTGCTCCAAAATACATGCCCGCAACATGTCCTCTAAAACCTGAATAGTGCGTTCTGATTGACCGTCGATCTGCGGGTGATAGGCAGTGCTCAACCTCAAGTGGGTCCCGAGAGCTCATTGAAAGGACTCCCAGAATCTTGAGGTGAACTTGGGATCACGATCACTTACAATGCTGGTAGGAACTCCATGCAGTCTCACAATTTCACGAAGATAAATTCTGGCAAGCTTCTCAGTAGTATACGTTGTTCGAACACATAGGAAATGAGCTGACTTCGTTAATAGATCTATAATCACCCAAATAGCATCATATCCCTCTCGCGTACGAGGAAGTCCTACCACAAAATCCATGGCGATACTGTCCCACTTCCATTCGGGAATCTCCAAAGGCTGAAGAAGTCCCGATGGTCTTTGATGTTCGTATTTCACCTTTTGACAAGTCAAACACCGAGATACATACTCAGCAATGTCACGCTTCATTCCCGGCCACCAAAACGACGTCTTCAAATCATGGTACATTTTCGTGGATCCCGGATGAACAACATAATTTCCTTTATGAGCCTCCTGTAAAACCTCTTGCTTTAATTCTTCATTCGGCACCACTAACTGACCTTGGTACCTCAACATTTCCTTGTCATCCTAGACTACATCTTGATTATTAACCAAACTTCGGACTAACTCCTCATCTCTCTGAGCTTCCTTAATTCTCTGAAATAATTCATTCTCTACTCTTACTCGGCCCAACCTTATGCTATGCTTTCTCTTCACCACCGACAGATTCATATCTCTGAAAGCCTCAAATAATTTCAATTCTTCAATCATCAAAGTTGCAGTGTGCAAAGTCTTTCGACTCAAGGCGTCGGCTACCACATTTGCTTTACCTGGATGGTATTTCAGTTCAAACTCGTAGTCTTTTAAGAATTCCATCCACCGTCGTTGCCGCATATTTAGTTCTTTCTGGTCGAATAAGTACTTCAAACTCTTATGATCGTTGAATACGTCAAACTGCGAACCATACAAATAATGCCTCCATATTTTCAGCGCAAACACAATGGCGGCTAATTCCAGGTCGTGCGTAGGATAATTTTCTTCGTGAGACTTCAATTGCCGAGAGGCATAAGCCACGACCATGCGGTCTTGCATCAGTACACATCCAAGTCCTTTCAAGGACGCATCACAGTACACTTCGAACTTCCTGGTTGGATCAGGAATGGTAAGGATTGGAGCACTAGTCAATCTATCCTTCAGCTCCTGAAAACATTCTTCACAATCTACAGTCCACTCAAAAGGCACATCCTTCCGAGTGAGGCGAGTGAGAAGTTGTACCAATCATGAGAAATTTTTAATAAATCTTCGGTAATAGCCTGCTAGTCCCAAGAAGCTTCGTATTTCTGTGACAGTTCTGGGTTGTTCCCAATTCATCACCTCTTCGACCTTGCTGGGGTCAACTGCAATACCTTCAGCAGAAATTACGTGGCCCAAGAATTGAACTTCACTGAGCCAGAACTCACACTTAGACCACATTGCATATAGCTGCTTCTCCTTTAAAATCTGCAAAACAATCCGTAAGTGTGCTGCATGTAATTCTTCATTGACCGAATAAATCAGGATGTCATCGATGAACACTATGACAAACTGATCCAGGAAAGGACGGAAGATGCGGTTCATGTAGTCCATGAATATCGCTGGAGCATTTGTGAGTCCGAACGGAATCACTTGATATTCATAGTGCCCATAACGGGTACGGAAAGCAGTTTTCGGAATATCCTCCGGTTTGACCCGGATTTGATGGTATCCCGATCGAAGATCTATTTTGGAGAACACTTTGGCACCTCTGAGTTGATCCATCAAATCATCAATCCTCGGCAGTGGATACTTATTCTTTACAGTCACCTTGTTTAGCTGACGATAGTCCACACACAGACGTAGACTACCATCTTTTTTCTTTATCAAAATTGCTGGTGCACCCCATGGAGAAGTACTAGGTCTTATGAATTCTTTTGCCAGCAGTTCTTCTATTTGCTTCTTTAACTCTCGGAGTTCCAAAGGTGCCATACGATACGGAGCAATGGAAATAGGTCCAACTCCAGGAATGAGTTCTACGGAAAATTCAATTTCTCGGTGAGGAGGTAAGTGAGGAATTTCATCTGGAAACACCTCCTCAAATTCATTTACAACAGGGACGTTCTGAATTTGATTAACAACCGAGGTCTCAGCCTCGATTGACAAGAGATAACCTGCTGCTCCCCGGAGGAGCTCTTTACGAACTTACAACAAAGAGATAGTAGCAAAAGACAGAAAATTACCATATCTCGGAGGAACAATGACCTTCCCTGCTTGGCAGTCCAAAGTGATCCTGTTCTCCACCAACCAGTCCATACCGAGAATTACTTCGAAATTGAATACCGGTAAGACCACTAAGTTGATTGTATAAATGCTTCCTTCATACTCCAGAAGAACGCCTCTGCAAATTTCTGAGGCTGTACAGGATCCTCCCGTAGGAGTACTGATTTGTAATTCATAGGGGAGTGGAGCTGGGGTGATACCTATCTTCATAGCTATATGTTTTGCCATAAAAGAACCAGATGCTCCAGAATCAAAAATAGCAGAAATAGGATAACTGTTAAGGATTATGTTACCTCGAATAAGATTCGGATATTTCTGCGCCTCATTAGCATCGAGGGTGAACACTCTGGCCTGAGTAGGTTGCTGACTTGCATAGTTTTGACATTTAGAAGCGAAATGTCCAGGCTGACCACATCTGTAGCATGTGTTGCTTCCCTGTAAACAGACTCCAGCATGGTTTTTCCCACAATTGTTAACATTAATTATGATATTAAGCGCAGTTACAATCACAACAATTCATTTATAAAAATGCGAATAAACTTTTTCCGAAGATTACGCGAGCATTTAAAACATAAAAAGCGTAATAATTAAAAGCCGTGACTGTAACCGTAAACTCTTGCGGAAGACTTATTTAAACTATTTTTATAACTTACTTTACTTATTATAAGTTACTAAGGGGTTCCCATAAACCCACTTAGCCAATTACTAACTTTTACGTTTTTACTTACTTGAACATGGTTCACTAATTAATTTTCTGCGAACACACCGCTCACAACCAGACCTTCTTCTCAGATTATTTTTTTGTCTTAATTAATTCTCTTTCCAACAAGCTATCACACGCTCAATTCGGAGCTCATTTGCTCCGGTTATCGCCATTTGAAGTTGGATAAGCAAAACAGCCAACCAACCCCAAAATAGCTCAAAAACTCTCTCACTCCTCGAATTACTGAAGCAAATTCACTCATCCAATTGCTCTCAAATTTGTATGCTACAAACTAGACACCTGAACCTTCAATTTGATATATCATACGCTTAATTTGACTGAGAAACGAAGCAGGAATTAATTTCCCAAAACTGGTCCAGAACTGCCACATGTGCAGTAGGCACATGAGCAGTCTGCGTTCCTCCATTTTTTTCAGGTCGAATACTAACCCAGATTTTTCCCAAATTTTGACAAAAGGTAGAGGACATCTCAAGTTTCAAAACGGCGTATGGCACGTCCCTAATGAACCTTTGTGGAGGGATATATGCTCTCCCGAAGTTCACCTAAAATCTGCCAATTCTACAGAAAATTCGCCAGAGTTTCCTTTGTTTTTCCTTAAATCCCCAAATTTGTACAAACTCAAAAGTACTTCAATTGTACCTAATAATCCAGTTTATATTTATTACACAGTTTATACTATAATTCTTACTTTAAAATCCTTAACTTGTTTCAATCACAAGGATCCATTTACATGCCATTTCTCAACATAAGCATATAATCATCATCCTACAATAGGCCTAAAGCCCTTCCATCATATTACATCAATATTCATGCATACTTACAACATTTCATTTAAATATAACAACGTACATATTCATAACTTGAATTTACAACCTGAAATATGAACTTGAATTTACAACTTTAAACATACTTCGAATGAAATAATAACTAACTAGACTCATGCACAATATATATCATGAACAAGTAATGACAATGCTCCCATGACTCATCCTATGGGCCTCTTGCCCGCCACTCCTGTGCCACTGCTACCTGCTGAAATAAATGCCTCGAGACGGGGTGAGATATACAGATATATCTCAGTAACCCAGAGGTTCTGGAGAAAACTCCGCTCAATGGTTCACTTCGATGCATATAAATAATATAAAACAACCGCTTTCAAAACAGGATAAAGCAAGGGATTTAGAGAAACTGGGGAATATTGGGATACAAAATATGACGAAGCGGGATGGTAGCTACCAATACCACGCAAAGTCCTCGGCATATATAAGCCTACGGGTATTATCCAAGGTGTGTTCCAAGAACCACAGCCATGATGCCTCAACCATCCATAACACCCGAGACATTCCTAGTGTGCTCCTATCCGAATCACACACCACGACCCTAGGTCAACTGGAACTCCCTCTCGGAGACCTATCCAGTGGAAGTCCGAAACTTCCCGAAGGCTAAAACTGTCTACTGGTCAGAGACTAAGGTACATAAGTACCCACTGTGATAATGCATGCATGCTCATGTTGTTCTACACTACTCATATACACTTCCTACCGTTGCCATCAACTGGCAAGGTGGAACAGAAAAGGGGAACAAGCCCCAGTACCAAGAGGTTACCTTAATTTGTTCTTTCCCTTAGCTCCGCAGCAGCTTATTTCTCAACGTGGTACACCACAGAATGCCTACACAGAGGACATTCCCAATCACTCAAAACTCAAACAATACATGCTAATTCACAATTATACATGCATTGATTCAATCACTTACCTCAATCCACTTGGTCCAGGACCAAGGGCAATTCACTGATTCACTGTTCGAGATTCAAGTCGACGTACGGCAACCTGTACAACCATGTACAGCCATCAGTATGCGT